GATCACGCGTATATGACCTATAAAATCATGATAAAAATTGTTCAGAAAATATATGGAGTCTAGACTAAATGCAAACTCTAATTGTACAGTATAATCCGGTTATAACGTACTTTAAGGGACCAGCGTATTAAGTACGTTATATCCGAAGTACGTTGTAACGAGGGTAAGTAAAAATTGATTAAAACCAAGCAAACCTTTTGCCTGGACCAAGAACACCGGTACGTTATTTTCGAAAGTACGTGATGACCGAGTACGTTGTAACGAGATTCTACTGTAACACACTATATTGTCAAGACCTTCTCCCCGCCAAGGTACAATCTAGTGTATGATTTTCCTGTGTAAGTGTAATGGACCTTCTTTCCCCGTGTCAATTAAAAAAAACTAATAATACATTTGCTGAGTTGAAAGCCAATGAAAACAAGACCCCCTGGAAAACTGCAGTTATTATTAGCATGTATTCATATAATTCTATTTCGTTTTATTCATTTAATTGCAGGGGCGGATCCAGTAGGGTGCGAGGGGTGCTCAAGCACCCCTCAGATTTCGCAGGCTTTTTTTTAATAGCAATTGAAGGCACAATCTCTTCAATTCTGAGTACTACGCACAACAACCTGAAATTCTAGCATCCGCTTTAGTGCCCCGTCTCACAAGTGTTTAGCGCTATTTTTTCGTTTGAAGAATTGAAATGCTATTAAACTCCCCCTGGTTTCGCTATATAGCATTCTACAGACTCGGAAACCATTGTCTCCTCTATAACCCAGCCATTCGAGGCACCCGTGGCCTGTAAATTATACCAGTTTCTGCACCCGTGGAAGTGAATTTAGCCAATCACTGTGCCAGATCGAGGGGTTCTCAACATTGGCGCGAGAACCCATGGATTTCAAAAATCTAAAATATCAAAGAATACCGACTTAACCAGGGGGAGTTTCTTCCCTGTTAACTACAGTCAAATGTATTGTGGAATTTGACCAGGGGGAGTTGGCATTGACCAGGGGGAGTTGAATTATGATATCACCTTAAACAGGGGGACTGATTAGCTAAAATTTTAGGCAAAGCTATGGAAAGTTCCACAAATGGCTAGGTGTAGCGCAAATTTACAAGATATGTTTTCGAAGTCCTTTCTGGCGATTTAAGAGGCCATTGAATATGACAACTGACAATTATCCAAAATCGCTACTAAGACAGCTGAAGTATAACATCGACAGTGGATTAATTGGTAGTAGGGTAAAAAGAGATACGCTTGAAGATATCAAGCGGGTATTTCAACGTGAAATAGATGTTAGACGTTGGAAAATTTACAATGAGTCCAGGAAAGAAAGAACAGTATGTACGGCTTCTTTGCTACAGTTTCCAAAAAGCGAGAACTGCAGAGCTGGAGATCGTGTACCCATCAGGTAAGAGATAAGGTCTTTAAAGTTGTTTACTTCAAATTTTTTCAAAAAACAACAAAATCTACAAGAAAACACGTATTTTTTATAAAAAACTAAGATCCGGTGCTGGTAGGCATTTTCTTAAATTTTCTGGCCATTTTGTTATCAGAAGTTTCTTAGATGTTTCTTAAATTTCTTTGGTACCTAATGAATTTTTAAACGTGCTTCCAAGTAAAGTAAATAGTTCACTCACATTCAGAGATAAATTACTTGAGTGTGCAGTTTACTGAGAATGAATGCAAACTGTCTGTCAATTGTAGTGTTGCAATATACAGTGATGTTCAATGATAAGACTGTTTCGAATGTTAACTCGGAAAATTAAAACTGCAAATTATAAAAGTTTCTTAGCTTTTTTCAATTTGGGTAGGGTTGTTTCTTAACTTCCTTAACCTACCGTTTCTTATAACCTGTTTCTTTTAAAAAAATGAGTGTAACTAGGTTTTTCTCATCTTGTACTTATTAGTCTTTACTAGTACGCTACTAATTAGTTAGCCTGACTTTCAGACTCCAAACTAAAAGTCTGGAACTCAGGCTACTAATTTGTATGTTAGTGGGTGTCGATAATTTGTAGGTTTTTTCTCATCTTGTACCAGAGTTGCCATTTGGGATTATTCAATCCAAGATTTCACGAAACTGGGACTGTGGAAAAGCTGTTGGGATCAGAAATTGTAATCTGGGATTCAGAGTAAAAATTGGAATTCTTTGGGATTATCCGGCAAGAATGGACAACTTGTTATAATTGGTCCATGGATTGTTCAAATTGACTATTATGTAACCCCTCAACACTGCTATAAGAACAATGTATAGTGAGCCACAAATAAGAAGAACGATTGACTTGAATTTGAAATTTTGTGTGATTTGTAGTGACTCTACTTAGGTCTGTTTTTGTTGATTTCCCCTTTTCATCCATTCCATCACATTCTCACATCGCAGCCAGTCGCAGCTCAGGCATCTCTACATCACTCTCATATTGCACATTCCCTATTGTTTACTTTTTCTTTACCACACACACTAACACACTATTCAATTTACTCATAACCTTTACTCGCCCTTCCTATGTTTTGTTTTTCTCACATAATTATGTGGCGCGAGAAAAAAGCGTTAATTGCCAATCATTTCCGTTTTTCAGAGTTCGTTTTCCAAACTGTTACATACACTGACTGAAAATTTGAAAGTGCTGTGTTCTGGTTCATCGTACTTCATACACAATGCCTCAAAGCTGAAGCCTTCATACTTATATCCCGTGTATTTTTATGCTCAATCTTTGGCAACTAACTCGACTATTTATGTCGAATTAAGCAACCGCATCATTGAAAAAATCGTAATTCATTGCGCAGGAAATATAGAAGGCATGGCTGCAGAGAAAAATCTGTCCCTTTCTATTACCTCTGCGGAGGAATCTACTTTTGCACTTGGCGACCATGTCTTTTCATATATTTTTGTTTAGTTTGTTTAATCTTTAAAAGTTCTAGAGTAAATTATTTGTTAGACTTGACCATACTTTGCTCACAAATCTATATGAAAAAAATTGAAAACGTTGTGACAGTAGGTTGCCTTTTATTCCATTGTTGCTCATAGCTACATTTCAACCATTGCACTGAACAAATTGGCTGATTTTTTTATTGTACCATATTTTTCCATATTACTTTTGCAGCACGCGAGATGATGGAAGCAGTCTCTTTAATGCATGCTCACAAGCTTTGTTTGGAGATAAGTCACTAGCAAGATGCTTACGTGGCCTTACAAGCATTGAGCTTTTCTTACACTCGAGTTACTATGAAACCCATCCCTTGATAAAGTCACCGCAAGCAATAGAGGTCTACAGTAGGTCTACAGAAAATGCATTACAGAACATTGTCTCTGATCGTGCACTTAAATACTATAAGGAAAAATGCTTTGAATCTTTAGTCGATGCTGAGGCTTCTATTGTTGCAAATGACTTTTCATCCTCATCTTTTCTTTCAATGCTTGCCCTTTCAAGTGCTACTGACGTAGTCATTGAATCCTACTATCCAATCAGTACCTTGGCTGGGGACAATGAAAGTGAAGTTGAGAGTCGTAATGGCAGGGAATTACTTTTTAACAGCACTATTTTGCCAAGAGGCTCTTCCTCTTCAAGCAATACAAAGATCCATATTTTTCGTTGCACCTCCTCTGAAAGTAAATTTCCAGAAAACAAAGACTATTACGTTCCTTTACTGCAAATGTCAGAAGATGCTTTAGAAACTGGAAGCGGCAAGCTAGGTATATCAAAATGTCGAGCAAACGATTACAATAGACAAGAGCCAGTAAGAGCTTCCAAGCGTACGCAGATGAAAATAGATGCATATGCCTTTAAGAAAGCTAAATTTGATGATTCGGCATCTTCTTCCCAGGCTTTCACAGTGGTTTCTTCTGAAAGCGAGATAGTTGACAGCTCAAAAATGGACGTTCGATGTCTTCCTTTACTTCCAGAAGCTTCCTCCGCCTCTTCCTGTCCTCAAAATGACATAGGAAATTTTTACCAATCGTGCTCTTCCCTTTGCGATCAAGAAAAGTATGATCTTCTGAACAATATTTGGAAACCTGGAAAGGATTTTCATTTCCCTGTCAATTCCTTGGGGCGTCGATTTCAGCATTCTTGGTTGCAAAGGTATCCATGGCTTGCGTATTCTTACATGCTAGATGGGGCATTTTGCATCAATTGTGTTATGTTTGGTGGTGAATACACACATAACGCTTCAAAGCTAAGGCATCTTTTCAAAGAGCCTTTTAAGAGCTGGTCAAAGGCCTTGAAGAAGCTTAATGACCATGTTGAAAAGTCCTCTATTCATAAGACAGCAACGGAAAGGTTTACACAATTTCGTTTAAGAATGCAAAATAAAGTGAGCTCTGTTGACGTCCAGCTGAATCATGCTGTTTCCGAGCAGGTTTCAAAAAATCGGGAGAAACTCAAGCCAATAGTTGGAGCAATTCTCTTATTGGCAAGGCAGGCAATGGCTTTGAGAGGACACAGGGATGATTCTGATTTCTATGAAGTGGATTCAAACAATCCTGGTAACTTGCAAGAAATTTTGTCTTTTTTGGCAACTTTTGGTAATAACATTAATTTTCAGGACCACTTGTTGAATGCTCCTGGGAACGCAACCTATCGGTCCAAAACTACCCAAAATGAAATTATAGCAATTTGTGGTGGTGCTGTACAAAAGTCATTGGTGAGCGAAATACAGCAGGCAAAGTATTTTTCAGTACTAGCTGACGAGGCAGCTGATGTCAGCAATGTCGAGCAAATGTCTATAGTTGTTCGTTTTGTTGATGGTACATCTACAATTCGCGAGGAATTTTTAGGATTTACCGAGTGTAATGAAGGTCTAACTGGCCGGGCAATAGCAAAGAAAATCAAAGAGAAGCTAGAGGAGCTGGGCTTGCCTATTGCTAACTGTAGAGGGCAGGGATATGATGGCGCAGCAAACATGTCAGGAAAATGCTCCGGTGCAGCGGTTACCATACAACGCGATTATCCCAAAGCTATCTATGTCCATTGTCGATCGCATGTTTTGAATCTATGTATAGCGTCAGCTTGTCAAATTCAAATGGTCAAAAATATGATGGGGCACGTGCGAGTCGTGTCTGAATTTTTTAATGTGCACCCAAAACGATATGTATTGCTTTGCGACAAAATAAAATCTTTGTTTCCTCAATCTCGTCATAACCATCTGATTGACGTATGCCGCACAAGGTGGGTTGCACGAATTGATGGTCTTGAGGTTTTTGTTGAGCTTTTCCAGGCAATTGTTGCGGCACTGGCTGAAGTTAAAGATAACTTGGAAGGAACGTGGAGTTCAGATTCGTGTAGAGATGCATCCGGGCTTTTTTACGGAACTGTTTCATTCCAGTTTATTGTAACACTCGTCGTTGTCTATCGTTGTCTTGCACTTACAAGACCACTAACCAAACAACTGCAAGCTACTGATTACGATGTTGTGAAATGTGTCGAAAAGGTGAAATTTCTAAACGGGTTACTCTCAAAGCTCAGGACCGAGATATCTGTCAATCATAATTCTTGGTTTGAAGAGGCAACCAGTTTGGCAGAGCTCGTTGACACTGTGCCATCAGCTCCAAGGACAGTGGCAAGGCAATTGAATCGAACAAATACACCAGCTCAAACACCCTCCGAATACTATCAACGTTCTTTATCGATACCATTTCTCGATCATCTTTGTGGCCAGATATCGCTTCGCTTCTCAGACACGAATATTGCTGTGCTTAGTGCGTTCCACGCACTTCCAGCAAAAGTGGTGTGCCAGCAAGACTGGCGAGTAAAGTTCGGAGGTTTTCTTGCCCATTGTTGGGACGATCTACCCGAAAAAAGGCACATTGATCTGGAGCTGGATATGTGGGAAAAAACATGGCAAGATTATCAAGGTACTCCACCCTCAACCGTGCAATCACTCTTGCCACTAATTGATAGACTTACATTTCCGAACATGTATACAGTTTTCCAAATTCTTGCAACCATACCTGTAACCACTTGTACCTGCGAGAGATCAATATCTGCTCTTCGTCGTTTAAAAACGTATCTTAGAAGTACCATGAAGCAAGAAAGGTTGAATGCATTGGCGTTGTTGCACGTTCATCGTGACATACGTGTTTCAATTGACATGATTATTGACCAATTCGCCCAAAAACATCCACGCAGGATGAAACTATTAGATATTTTAAATGCTGATCCTCGCTGATGTTTGTATTGTTTACATTTATATTTTTAGGCGTATTCTTGGCATAACTTTCTGCTACGTATAACTATAACACTTTTCTAATTAAACTCTTGCTAAAAAGTGTGCTCCTTATTACGTCAGTAACATACTGTTGTTGTGTTGTGATCACAATTATTTCCAAGGCGCTCTGCAGAAACGGACAAAAGTCTTAGAGCTATAGTCCCTTCCAACCATCCTGCTCCGTAGTGCCTGACGTTCCATTCTATTCACCTGTAACTCATTAAAAAATTTCGCGCAGGATGTCCATCTTAACATGATACTCCACAGATCTTCAAAAGATACTTTATGTTTTGTAAAGTTTAAGTAAAATTGTATCAATTTTTTTGAACTATTTGCCTTTGTCTAGGAATAGCTGAAAGTATTCTATGGATATCTGTGTTATTGAATCTTAAGTTACAACTACTGATAAGTAAGCTACTGATTGAAGTGTAGCAAGAAAGTTAATAAACTTTTAAATTTTTTTTGAACTTTTACATAAATTCTTAAATTGAGTCATTCTGGCATCTCAGGTTACAGCAGGCTTAAATTATCTTTATGGCATATTAACAGGGGTACGATGTTTGTCAATAGCAGCGCCCTTAGTTATGAAACTTTCTGTATGAGCACCCCTCAGAATAATTGCTGGATCCGCTCCTGCCGGTTAGCTGCTCTTAATTTCATTCATTCTTTTACATCTCTACTTCAAGCTCATTTCCTCTCACTCTCCCTACTGATGGGCAATTCACTCTTGCAAATAGCGTACGAGATTTTTCCTAAAACAGAAGGATTTGTTTCAAAAGGACAAAAGGCTCGCTTCCTACAGTCTGGCATCAAATTTCTTTTACATACCATGTGCTTTCTATATGAGGTCAACTAACTACGTTTTCAGTGCAACGAACAAAACAGAACCAATTAAATACCAGAACATTATATACGTTAGCCATTGATAAACTAGAAGACACAATTATATGAGTCAGCTAATACGCCTCACTACCAAAGTTCGCTTATGTTAATCACGTACAAAAACAAATACCAAAACTGTAACTCATACGTGATTAACATAAGCGCTCAAATCCAAAAAGAAAATTGCTAGACATGGCAGGAAGCAGGAAATCTTCAACCGCTACTGTTCAACCTACACTCAGGGCCCACGGTCAGCAACAACGTGATGTTATCAATTAAGGACCTGTCTAAGTTATACATGGATTACCGAAATAAAAATTAGATACATCATGAAGATGAAATCTCAAAAATCAAAGTTGAAATTTCTACAAAAAATCTTAAATCTTAGAATTGAAGTTTCACACTTAATTTCGTCTGTAATTTATTAAAAATCTTTGCTCCTTGAAAATAAAAGGCCTTCTTGCCTGCTTTGGATTCTTATACATTGAACTTGGATTTAGGGCTTCAAAACAAGACCTCTATGGAAATATTTTTGCTTACTAAAAAAATAGGGGGCATGGCCCCTCCGGCCCCCGCTGGCGTGGGCCCTGATGCCACTGCCTGATGCTCAATTTCAGACTCGAATACCTGTTTTGCTTCCAAATTCATAATTTTCTGAATTGTTGCAAGCTATTCATATTTTGCAGAATCCCTCGGCCGATGATATTGTGCATATGCTCAAAAAGCTCATGTTTTTTAAATTCTAGAAAAATTTTTCCCCAAATTTGATTTTAGGCGATTTTGGATGTGTTATAGAGGAAAAATTCCTACGTAAAATGATGTACTTTTTGATAGACGAAGACGTCGCAGAAATGCGAGTTAATAAAACACGAAGAAAGAACGGGTTTTGGATTCTTAGCAAAGCATGGAGATCTGAAAAAGGTTTTTTTGCCAACTGACTGTCTTTGAAGACTTGTCAAGCAAGCAGCTGGACCAGTGTAGCCGGTTGGCACTATACCACAGTCAGCTTATGTACATGACGTCACACAAACGATGGTTAATGTCTAGCTGATCAAATGTCTAGCTGGTCGAAGAAAGTTCGAGCGAAATCTGCCAAAAGTTGAACCAGTTTAAACTTTTCTGAGAACATGATTCAGATTTCGAGCGGAAAAAGATTTAGCTTATGCGCATGCCCAGCAAAAAGTTCGAGGGGATTGAAATTCAAATCCTATGTCAACTGCCAATACCTCAGCTCAGTCAATGTTCTAAACACTAAAGTATGTAAAATGAAGACTGGCGCAAGGCTTCTAAAAGGGCCTTTAGGCTTGATTACAGCAAATTTTGTCGGGGAACTCGCTTTAAAACGCTTGATAATGTTCTTATGCGGCAAAACCAGTTATCTGAAATTTTAGCAACGGCTTCATACATAGTTATCAATGGTAGTTACTCTGACTCAGGCGAAAACGTAAGAGAGAGTTTTCGTAGCTGCACACGCACTAAAAACGAGTTCTTTAGATTCAACTGTAAGAAAGTGCTTCAAAACAGGGCCTATTTAATGCTTTAGAGTAGAATAGATACTTTTTTCCGTTTTTCTCTGTTTCTGTGTGCTATGAATTGAAACCCCTGGAGAAAAAGCTAAATTCCAGCTTTAGCAGAAAATTCCCCGAACGAAGTAAGCAGAAAAATCTGGCAAACACGCCCCTGCAGATTAAGCAAACTACAAAACGATTTCCTGAGGTCATTTTCTTGCATTCGCCTAAAACTGGGGATGTATGGGCCCTGTTTAAGCCACAGCAAACAAACCACAGGCGAGTTCCGCCATTGCTTGCAGCCTCCATCTTTTTTCACTTAGTCCTCGGTTGTCTTGTACGCTAGATGACGTCATGTACGTTAGCTGACTGTGATCTAGTGCCGACCAGTGGTGCCGACCGTCTGTAGGGGTCTGGGACACAGGCTGAGAAAGAGCAATGAGTGCTGCCTTCGGATGGAATTCAGGAGATTTTGTCACCTAATTCTCAATACAAAGGAACATCCGGTCGTAAAATACGTAAAGATGAAAATGTTTTCGATATTTACGGTCCTTATGTCGCGCAGAGATAATATCAAATGCTAATCATTTTACGATTATGATTCATTTTGTATTCATTTGATCATAAGAGTCATAAAATCTTAAAATTGAGTTTCTTACGATCCTTACGGTCTCTAGTGAAAACCAGGCTCAAAGGTAATGTGTCCATATAAAAGGACTGCGTATACCCGACATGTCAAGTAACATCAAAATAACGGTTTGCGATTGGTTTGTATTCTTGCGATGCAAAACTGCTCACATGAAAAGCTAACCTCGCAGCAGGGTAGATAAACAGAACGACTGTAATGGCTGGGACGATGACATGAAAAATCACATGTTTCTGAAAACCCCCGCAGAGTTACTTGCCGATAAGACAGTAGTTGATCACAGCTGACTGTCATCATCGCACCATCAGCGCTTTTGTGCATACTCTGGTCGTTTGGCGTTCTTCTCTTCCGCTTCCGCCTGTTTTTTGCACTCCAGCTGCTGCCCTGCCTGCTTCAAATGAGTCCGTCCCTGTGTCAGACAGCGACAAAGAAGTTTAGGGCAGCGTTTTGGGCTTTTTCTAGCTATCTCTTCTTGTTCTTATCTAGAATGGTTATCATAGTCAGAGTCAGATTTTATGTTGCAAGAGCTCATATTTTCTAAACTGGGTCAGTTTCTGGTATCTGCGGTTGAAAAATAGTTAATTATGTCACGAGCCAAAAAAATTTGCTGCTAACTTTGCACAAAAACTTTATGCTAAAGATAGTATCCTGAAAAACCCCTGTCATTGGATTATAAAAAGATAATTATCGAATAATTTATTGAATTTATCTTTTGCAGTGAATTTTCGGAGGTGATCTCTGTTAGTTCCAGAATACTTTTGTCTAGTTTTTCTAATTTCGGGTATCTTTTTTACATTTATCGTTGCCGCTATTGTTTAATATGCTGCATGTTGTTGCTTGTTGTGTTTGTAGTGACTCTTCGCAAAAGTGCAAGAATCACTCAACTGCAAAAGTGACTCAAATGCAAAAGTGAATTTTGTTATAAGAACACGAGGCTCAAAATTGGTCAAAAGTTAGGAACAAATTCAGAACAACCTGAGGCTGAGCTAGTGGAAAATGTAAATCTTGAACAATGTTTCATTTCATTTAAGAGGACGTTTTGCCTTCTAGGGGTGCATTTTCGGTAAATTTTTAAACTTCTCGGCAAATATATTTCACTCACTTTGTTGGCAAACGAGCCTAAACACCTCCCCAAAAGCAACTGTACTGCTTACACACCCTACTTAATTCAGATCAAATTAAGAACAATCCAGCCTCAGATTGTCGACAAAAACTAAGAATAGCCAGCCTGCACTTTAGAATACTGGTTCTTGTATAAAAGAATAGTGTATGTATTTAGATAAATTAATTGCTTTATGATGATGGTGATGATGAGGAAGTCTTGTGTAAAATAGTTCCGCATTCCTTATCCGTAGGCGGACAAGCCCCTTGAAGGAAATCCGGCACTTCTAACTGCAAAATGTCATTCATTGTATTCAAATGTCACAAACTCAGCTTGCTGATGACAGAATCAATCAATCAAATACACAAACCACAACTGCTATAAGAGAGGTCTACCGTCGCCGAATCCGCAGATCGAACGGACCAGTCACCGAGGGAAGGTGATAGCTGGTGAGTGGGTTTTGAAAATTTTGTTTGATTAGAGTAGCCATCTGAAGATAGTTTGGTACATTTATTCTTCGTTTTGTTTAGTTCTGCTTTGAAATCATTATTGGCCGGTGTTGAAGTAAATTGGTTTTATGTAAGCTAATACGTATGCCATTTCCGCGTTTACAAATGGGTGTAACCCAGAATAAATGGATTTATGTATGGTCAGGTCATTCCATTATAACGTAGCATACATAACAAGGCTCTTCAAATAGAATAACCCAACAAGACTCAGCATCTACACAGTTTTCCAATAATGGTTTGCCGACTATCTAGAATTCATAATTTTTTGCATCGCACGGAAGTACCGAAGCCAAAATTTAGCAAAAGGGATTGGTAACAAACAATACAGAGAGTGATAGGGTCTGTTTGCATTTATAAAGTAGCCAAGTTTCATTCTCGATTCGATTCTTTTTTCTTGTATTTGTTTCATTCTCGATGTTAACTGTTGTTTAAAATTTGTTTTGGTCGGGGAGCATTCTTTACGAAATAGGTTACGTCTCTTTCCTGCGCTTTTTGAGTATTCGCACTGATTAGTATAAAACCTCGTTTAATCTCTTGATGCAGTTTTCGAGAAGCGATTTTGCATGTTGAACAATTCTTTAATATTGAAAACACGATTTGTAGGATGTCACGCTGGCAGCAGTGGTTCTGGCACCCAAGCCGTCCTCGTTTCTCTTTGTAGTCATCGATCGTTCTTATTAATCGGGTTACATTTGCGAATTCACCGTCTTCGTCGACCCTGTTAGTTTGGAATTATAACAGTTTCATATATATCTACTTATTCACCCGCCTTTTTCTTCAGGTCAATTGCTACAAGATGAAGCTTTTAATATTACTCATACTCGGCTTAGCCGTTTCGATCCACGGTAGGTTTTACATAATCATTTTCACTACAATTTTCTTCGTATTTTTCTGGTATGGCATTCTAAATGGCATTTTACCCGACATTTTCCAGTTGGATCCGTTGTTAGCACAGAAATTCCCCTAAAAGTGGGCGTATTGTCTCTATGTTCGACTCGTTTACAGTGAGTTGGGGGTAAACAATGCTGGCCGACAGATGATCGATGGTACGAGTGAAACGTAATTTTGTTATAACTTTGCGAAACATCAACCTATGAACCTATAGATGGTCTCATATTAATGGAAACATTGAATGCTATCGTTTGGTATATATTTTACCTATATAGGACTTAAAGGTACGTTACTGCATTAGCGTCCGAACGTTGTATTTCTACGTAAATGCAAACTCTCTCTCTTCATTCCAGGTGAGACAGTTGATGAGGCGAGCACGGCTTTAGATGAACCTGAAGAAAGCGATGCCTTTGAAAACGATGATGACTTCAACGAGGATGATCTCGAGGCACTTGCTGATCCCGATGAACTCGAAGCTTTAGGTAAGCTTCCTGGCTGCAAGATATTTAATCGTGACATTATCAGCCATATTGTGCGATTCCACTTTCCATATCGTATTTCAATTTCCTGTGATTAATAAGTTTTTATTTGCATTATAGAGGAGGCCGATATTGAAGAGAAGGATCCATATGTCGTTCAGTCCATCCAGTACTACTGCAGGTTCTGCAAGATCTGCAATGCTTGCAAGAGGGCTGGGAGATGCTCTGGCGGTCTCATGAGAAAAGCCTGCAAACACTGCAAGTATTGCAACCCAAGAACCTACTGGGATCTTGTTAGGCGATTTCGTATACGCATAAGACTGCGACGCGTCAGATTGAGAAGATGGGGAGGCAGACGCAGACGTAGACGCAGACGCCGGGGTTAAACTGTGTGGCTTGTCAATGCGAACACCTTGTAATGCTTTTGACTTGATCACTTATGTTTCGTTTAAAGTTTTTTATATTTTCAATAATCGTGTACTACGGAATTTTGTTTCTGTGCCCTTATATCCTTTACGCCGGGTCACCTACGGGAAAATTGACTATGGTTCAAAACAAGTCATTTTTATCTGAAAAGAATGAAATGTATTTGATGAAAGGCAATCAAAAGTAAGGTCGAGGGTATGATGGAAAAGCCAAAGTCTCTGCGGTATGTTTTATTGGACACTGGTTGGACAAAAAGGATTAGTGTAGTTTGTGATTGCTTCCGCCCCAAACTTTGTCCATTTTTTGACGATTTTCTTGGATTCTGATTTTGAAGATCGCCTTAGATGTCGATTTTGATAAAGGCTTGTACAAATTTGTCAAATTTTGCATGCCAAAAAGGCCAAGCTTATGGGAAATAACGCCAAAGCTAAATGATGCATCTCATTATAACTTTACAGGGGCCTCGCCTTAGACCCTTTAGTTTGGCTATCTAGCTAAGGGGGACATATGATATCCGTGACAGCTGGAGTCAGTAATCGGAGGATATAGGCTAGCAGTTGCCAGCAAAGGGAATTTTGATGATTTCTACAACATAATTTCGATGCAGCATACCCAGACAAGGTGGGTCCAGCATGCCCCGAGAAACCCTTACTAAACATGTTTGTTTTTACCAGTCGGAAAGAAGTCTTGATTTCTCAGAAATCACCAGCCTACCACTAGTAATGTGAAACGAATAACTTTATCTATCCTACCGACAAAAATTAAAAAGGTTTTGTAAAGTTTGGCCTGAATCTTTTTAGCATCTGTTTTATCATTTATCGTTGCCAAATTTTCTCTAATTTTTCAATAAGTCCCAGAAGCTTTTGTAGTGAAGCTTTAAGAAACCATACATTGAGGTTCAGACTGGCTGTTTTTAATTTTTCCAAGTAAAGGCTGGGCTGAACTGGCAATGAGTCATGGTAAAAAGCCAAATAGGCCTTCTCTATAGGGGGTCATTTGGTTTTGGCGTGATCGCTGCAGTTTTATGTAATACCGGCATCCATTGTTGACAACTTTCTATTGATGGGAACTGTTTTGTTAATCAGTACTAGGTTAGCCTGTGTTCTACTAGGTGGGTTCATGTGACCATTTCAAGGTCGACCAATTGCATTGCAGCAAGAAAATCATGACTCTGCGGATTTTTGCACGTTTGGGTATACCCTCTCCTTTTATTATGACTCAAAGCCTTGCGGAGAAAGGGGCTGGGGGCCAAATTTTTGCCAAAAATACAATAAGTCTACCAATGAATCACCAGTCAAGCCACTTTTTATTCGGTTTTTAGCCCCCCCCCCACCTTTCTCAACGCTCCGCGGTGCCTGAAGCAAAGCCATATTAGGATATTCAGGCCAAATTTGTCGACAATGATTGCCGACAGGGTACCCCTAGAAGGTAAAAAAATTGTCATTTTTGAAGCAGAATTTCTTTTAGAAGCAAGTGCCACAACCTCGATACCCCCTTCATAGCTATGGTCGGAAGATGCGGGGGGATGGGTCCCCTAATCGTCACCAAAGTCCACTTAAAACTATACAAAAAACCATCTTGCTCTTGGTTTTCATTAGTTTAGCCCGCCTCAAAAATTCTTGTTAGCCCCCTTAATTATCAATTTGCTCCGCAGTCATTGTTTTACTGTACCTCAGTTACTGTATCTCAGATTGCTTCTAATTTTTCTTGACGTTTGACAAATCTTTAGCATCGTCTACTTATAAAATGGAGTGTGCTATTTTGATTCAACGTTGCTAACTCCAATGGCTTTGAAGAAAGCAAACATTCCACAACTTGAAGCTTTTTCGTTTGACATAGGGGTCCAAAAGAACAAGATGGATAATAAATACCTATGGATTGAAATAGGCCCATCAGAAAAATGCAAGCACATGACCGATATATTTATCCAATCAATACACGCTTTTTTTATAAGAACCAGTAAATTTAAGTTCAGACTGACCGTTCTAAAATTTTCGAAATCTGAGGCTGGATTGTTCTTAAATTGTTCTTAAATTAATAGGGTGTGAGCAGTGCGATTACTAGTATTTCGCTCTAGGGAGGTATTCAGGCCTCAATTGCCAACAAAGTGAGTGATACAACCTTCATTTGGTGCCAAGTTTGAATATTCACCGAAATGCACCCAAACATGGCTAAAAATTCTCGAATATGAGATAAAACATTTTTCAAATTGCATTTTACAGTAGCTCAGCCTCAGATTGTTCTTAACTTGTTTTTATCTTGACCAATTTTGAGGCTCATGTTCTTATAAAAATTTTCTTATTAAAATAGGGGTACCGCTCTACTTAAGGCCAAGGGAAAATACAAACTCCTTCTGTCTACACAATCGCAGCCCCAATTGTTTAATTATTCCATAAAAAGGGTGTCTTACTTGTAACATTTACGAAACGCCAGAATAAAATCCCTGCCACTCCTGAATGGCTAGAAACTTTAGGGAGATTCCAGGCCGAGGGGCCAAGAAGGAAGGCTCCTCCGATGGACGATGAAGATTCAATTTGTTAAAGAAAGGGCGCATGCCTGAATAAGAAGAAAGCATGGCGGTATTGATTATTTTTTGTTCTGGAAACACCATATAGCTTTTCAAAATCTACACATGTTGTTGTTTGGGAAAGAAAATCTTCATCTAATGACTGAGCCATATATTTTAACTCAACCTTTTTCTTGCAGACTACCTGCGGAAACTTGCATTCAATTCAATATAGTAAACAGCAAAGGATAAGTCATATCGAAGATAATGCAAGTTCAATTATTTAGCAAATTGTTACATGAATATTTGAATTATATAAGGATGAGTCCAATTTTTCCATCTTGAGAGAGAAGCTCACGTCATCACTTAGCCCCATCTGCGTCTACGACGACCCCAACGCCCGACTCTGACACGAACTCTCCGAAGTCTTCTCAACCTAGGCAATCGGACACGTCTCAGGCGTCTAAGTCTGATCCGGATCCGGATTTTTCTCAGTAGTTTCCAGTAATATCTTGGATTGCAATACTTGCAATGCTTGCATGCTTTGGAAAGGAAGCCTCTGCGACACCTGCCGTATCTCTTGCAATTTCTGCATACTTTGCAGAATTTGCAGTAATAAGCAATTGGCGCTAATACGTCACTCGAGGGCTGAGTAGATTCCTCTGAAATAAAGAAAATTTATCATCACAGCAATGCGGAGAGCTACGTTTTACAGTATTAATCCACGTGCAATTGAAAACTTGGGAACTCTTTGTGATTTCAGGCTTAAGAATCACGAGAATAGTCAAGAAAGACCAGCATCTGATCGATTAGCACAGCTTCTCAGTGTCTAATAAACTACATGCGGAAACTAGGTAGTAACAAATAGAAATCTGCTGTTGGTTTAGCATCAATTTTCATGCATTCTTAAAACTTTTTTGTTTAAGTGATGATTAGGATACCTAGCTCTTCGATTTCGTCTGGATCTGCCTCCAAACCCGGATCTTCTAGTTCATTTGCATCCTCTTCAGTTTCCGTTGCTTCATCATCTTCTTCATTAGGAAAGTCATTGCTGCTCATTTCTTTGTCTAAATCGTCTGCGGCTGTTTCGAGAGCAACTTCATTCTCGGCGCTTACTTTAGCTACAAATTGAAACAATATTTTAATGTAAAAACAGCTCAATGCTTTACAAATGTTGAAAATTTTCTCTATGGCATCCTCTAAGCAAAACGATATTTCTCTACGGTCTTACTTCATTAAGAAGAAGAAAGGAGGGGCAAGGGGGGTGCTGAGAGACAATTTTGTTAGATGAGAACTGGTCCACCAATAATATGCTAGTCAAAGAGGAGTAATTTTTCTTTTCCCCAGTTCATTCAGCTATCTGTCTTTATATCTGTGCAAAGCCGTTGGAGAATAATAGCTGCAAAGCTAAATTTGAATGTAAGGATGGATACAAAATAGAAGCTTTCTGCTTTTAGAAGGGAATTGAAGATCAACCTCCCTGACCATGTGTTTCTCGTGGGAATGAATTCACATGAATTGTAAGAAATTCTGTCAATGACCATTGAGTTTGCGGCTGTTCCCCAATACACCACTCTATGCTGAGACATTGGCATCATCAACCTGTCACTAGCAGAACAATTTACAAAAGTTCAAAAGTGTAGAGCCCTACTGATATTACAACCTGGTTACATAGTATGTTTCAACTTAGTTCCTTTATTTTGAAACGCATTAGGTAAGCCCTCAACCTCCCCTATTCAGGAATGTAAAGAGAGATGAATTGTGATGCACTTTAACGCGAACCACCTAAATAAGATAAGTACCTTTCGCTACCAAAACGAAGAGAAGCAGCAGAAGTAATGCCTTCATCTTGAACCAGTATCCTGCTTATACCATGTGAAATGCTACCAAAGTATAAACGTTCGATCAGCGTGCTATGCGAAAATGAAATGCGTACTAGACTATCATACATTTATATGCTTGCTGGAATCATGCTGGAATCAGATGACCCGCTGTCTTAAGCAAAGAAGGATAGAATTACAAAACCTTTCTCTTTCCACATACTTCGCTTTCTCAGGCATCTTTGTTAAAGATCAATTAGGTTTTTGCATTTGATTGGTTTACCGAATACAATGTTGCCCCCAAAAACAAGGGTAGGGTCTTGTTTCGTGACTCGATCCATATCGTATCTAGAAGGCTCTATAATCAGTCCATCGAATTCGTCCCTCCCAGAATTTGAGTTCCCGTTCATTTTCTCTCCAATCAGTAGCATGTGATATTATGGAACGTGTTTGCAAGAGCCTTCTGAACCTACAACCACAGGTAAAAATTGCTTTTCCCGCAAACTAGGGGCCTTTGAGGAAGTCTTAAAGTGCAGTGGCGGATTTAAGGGAGTTGCCCTCCCTCTAGAGGCAGTTGCCCTCCCTCAACGAGTTGAAGCAAGTCTGGCGCCCCTTTTTGGAAATTGTGCCCCCTTTTGAAAAATGAGAATCAGATGAAAAAGGTTCTTGGACCGATAGGTTAATTTGCTTCAAGGATTACCTCAAAGTTATGTTGTTTATTCTGAAAATGGATCTGAAATTGTTGTATACAGCGTACTCTCGTAACCAATTTTTGAAAATTTTTCAGCGCCCCAACTACCAACTGCCCCTCCTTCAAATTTGCTCTGGATCTGCCCCTGTTAAGCTGAAGCAGCAGTTTGTCCCATTGAATGAAAAGAAGTATTTCCTATCAAAAGTATTAAAAACGAGAACATAACAGTGCCAATGATCATAATCTATGAAATTTCTCTAAAATTTGTTCAGTATCTATGAGCTTTCTAGTTTGTTTCGTTCTTCATCTTCCCCTTTGAGATCTTTATTCTCGAAAACATTTTCAAACCTAGAATACTTTTCTATGAGAGAGAGCTTGTGTAATTCGAAAGTTTCACATACAATTAGCTTGATTGGTGTGGTCATTAAACTTTTTAAAAGGCAACACCCAAATTCTTCAAAAATTTTGATCATGTGCAGTGATAAAAATTCTTTAAAATATACCCTGTAAAATATGGAAATTATAGGTCTCATATTTTGAATGATATGCGAAATATCGAAAGAATAACTCATAATCTCAAAGTTTCATCTCAAAAATAAGTTGATGAAATTCGCCTTTCTCTTGGTTCACAAAATAATTTTCTCGGTTTCTGAACTCTAGGTTTAAAACTTTCTTCTCTTGCCTTAGACCCCGTTTACACTGTCCTGGGAAAATTTTGTACTGTTACGGTTCGTAAGTGTTTACACTGTCGCGATTCCAAATTGTTCCGTTTAGCCGTTCCGTTTACACTGTACCAGTACGACCTAAATTCGAAGGTAGAACATTGTTTAAAGGAGGCTATATTTCGTCAACCGAGGCAATCAAGGCTTCGACTGGGAGACAATAAAAATAAGTAGGGAGACAAAACTGTCCAGAATCTTCGAAGTCGTCGTCTTTTCTTCAGAATGCGTCCTCTCTTTTCTTCGAAGACGGTGGTAACCATCGTAAATGGCTACTGAATAGATGATATTCAGTCCAGCGATCGCTGCCACTTTATTTAACATGGCGATAAGGAATTTGAAAACGTATTGAATTTTCAACAGCCATCTTGACAATTCCCTCGTCTAAAAAATCGTCCAAAATCCAAGCCTCGATTACCTGAAGTAGCTATTCAAAAGACCTCATTGTGAATCAGTGACAGAATCGTCTCGGATAGGTTTTAAATACTGTCCCGTTCTAAAACGGAACCGTGACGGTACAAAATTCGTTCGCTTTCAAAGCAGGAACAAAACTGTTCCGAAATACAGTGCAAAATCGTCCACAGTGCTAGTGTAAACGGAAGGGCGAACCGCGACAGTTTTGTCACGGTTCCAAACCTGCACGGGACAGTGTAAACGGGGTTTTAAAGCAAAAAGGAAAGCAAAACGCTGTCTATCCGCCATGTTGTTGTTAATTAAGTGTTTCCTGTGGTTTGCAAAGGGGAAAGGATCAGGGACGTCACTTCACTAATTTTTTGGGGGGGTGTAAACACTATTGCCCTGCAAAATTTTTCCTGTAAAACAAGTATAGATGTACTGTACTTATACATATATTACATAAGTACATATATTATTTTCAAAAAGCAACACAAACCAACAATCGCAATAAAAAAGGTCAATAACTAGTCTACTTTCACACTAATTTACTTAATTCTTCTCATTTATTTTCATGCCATACTTATAATACTTTATCAAGTGGGATAGTGTCTGTTAGGTCTTTCTCACAAGCAAGTAGAATGAGATCATTCAATCGTTCATCTTTCATCCTTGATCGCAGCAAATTTTTAACAATCTTAAGTTTGCTAAAGGTTCGCTCGTCTTTAGCCACAGACACAGGTGCTGTAAGAAGAAGGATGTAGCATTTGTAAACCGTTTGGAAAAGTCGTCTGTTTTCAAATGAAAATTTGGCAGCCTCTTTGACGGAAGTTGGCTGGATCTGTTGCTGTTCAATCATTGACCTGAAAAAATCTAGCTCACATAATATAACTCCTGCTTCAATATGAAAGCCTGGTGGGAAAAGCTTTCAAAGATCGTGGACTGTTTCTGGGTTTATCGTTTTGAGTGGTGGCTGCAACGCCATTGCTAATGGCTCAATTTTTTTTAAGCATGCCTTGATATTTTTACCATACTCTGCTATCAGAGAATCGAGAACAACACACATTTCTGTTCTGTAGAAGGAATTAAATTTAAATTCCGCTGATGTTTCTGGACCGTTGTCAATCTTTCTTGGCTGCAACCTGAGTCGATATTTCCACTAAACTCAGCCGCTGAATCTATTCCATGCTGTTTAGCGCACTCGTTTAGAGCATCCAACTCTTCATCCATAGCCTTGTTATCATTGCGAATCTTCTTAAGATTTTCTACTGTTGCTTCAATTAACTTCATCGCATCTAGGATGTTAAGCTCTTCTGCTTGGAGTTGCATCGTCAAAATCTTTGTTTTCTTCATAATTAATCTCATGAACATCAATGCAAAAAGAAAGTCAAATGACAGACACTTTTTCTTTATGTCTTTACCCTTCACTTTTACCCTTCATTTCTGTGCTGTCGTCACTGACAACTTTTTCAATTGCTTTGAGTATGCTTTGTAAACTTCGCCACACTGCTTCTATCGACTCTGAAGAGTAGACCCATATCGTTTTAGACATGTTGCGGAGTTTCAAGGAGTACTCATCAACCTATTGAACTTCTTTATTGTAAATTTTGTTTCGTTTGGAGCTGGCACTGAAGAAAACAAATATATCTTGAAGATTATCGTATATCGACGTAATTATGGCACTTTGTTTTGCACAATGTTCTTTGAAAGTATTAGATCGATACCCTTGACATGGAATGTACGGGACTGGACTTTCAAGAATATCTTGTAGAACCCTCTGTGCCCCTGCGATTCTCCCAGACATATTATTTACGAAATCGTATGTTTGGAAGCAGAGATAATTCACATTAATTTCATTTGCTTCCAGACACTTGAGAATACATTCTGTTGTCTTATCTCCATGTTTGTCATTGCACTCTTTCATTTCCACGACTCTCTCGCGCGCAATTCCTTTTTCACCAATATATCTTGCAGCCACAACCATTTGATCCTTATTGCTAACATCGGGTGTTGTATCGGCCGAAACCGACAACATTTTAACACACTCAATCTCATCTTTTATTCCTTCTCTATCATTCTCCGACGTTGCTAAAACGAGGAACAAGCGGAACAACCTAGTAACAAGCGGAACAACCCAGTAACAACCCAGTAACAAGCGGAACAACCCAGGAACAAGCAGAAATACCCAGTAACAAGCGGAAATGTGAATTAATTGTTTAGTAAATACCACATGGGGGCGTTTATAATCCAACTCTCTGAAGTTTGTGTGGGCTAGAACTATCAAGAGGCCGTCAATCATGTCTTCATCAGTTTCGGAGGCTTTGTGATTTTGCCAACGGACAGAGAGAATCTATCGACCCCGGATCGGGACGAAAAATAAATAGTAAAGCATGCCTTAAGGGGTATGGGGAATGCTCCCCCAGAAATTTTTTGAAAATGGTGGCTGCTCTGGTGGCTATTTTGGTTGCTAAAATAGCTATGCTGGGTAAACTGCTCTGGCGGCAGTGGCTAAGATAGAGGGAATCAGAGGGGGGCAACAAAACCCTGTAGAGCGAGACCGAGGGGCAATTCACTCTTGAAAATTGCGTACAAGATTTTACCAAAACAAAAGGATTTCTAGGGATTTTCAGATAAAGCAATAGGATTTTTATAAAAGGTGTACAAGATTTTCTTGGAGTGATTTGCCCCTCGAGCTAGACTCCTATTTTGTCGGAAAACCTCTGGTCTTCTGGAAATGTTTATCTACTTGCCATGTTTTATAGGAAAGAATTTAAAGCTAAATGAAAATAAGAATATCTGAATATGTCAAAATATTTATTTAATATTTCTGATGTCGTTATATTTTGTGTACTTAGATATGATTGTATTTAGAGTGTATTATGGCTCTTCAACTATATTTATTTAGATAAATAAATTTTTTTATGATGATGATGATGGAAACGCCAAACATCGGTTGCGTGTTTGTCACCCTACCATCAAAATTTCACGATATTGCGCCATTCAATCGCCTGGGGAGAAAAATGACATTGATATGCCTACAAGAAAAATCATGCCCTGTCGTGGGATAAAAGTCGGAAAATCCAGGAACCAGGAAACTGATGGTTTGCCTAGAATCATTTTGATTGAGGCGGAAAGTTAACCTCTTCTTTAATCCAAATTATAAGTTGTAAGAGGCTGCCCATTATATTCCTTCCCATGCAGTACATTGTTATAAAGGAAACATACTACAGTAAGACAATTATTGGTGGGGCTTCAGAAACCCCCCCCCCAGCCCCCCGGCTCCGACGGGCCTGAAAAATGTGATTGCAACAGGGCTACATGTACAGATTTACACTATGG